TACCTGGGTAATGAATATTATAAATTGAAAATTCCAAGGAACTAGGAGCATTTCATGTAATCCACTTGCCTCAAAAATACCTGTTTTGACAGGGAGGCTTCTGGTGTAAACCTTAGCTTAATACATTTAAGCCTTCCTAAATTATTCATATATTGTTGAGGCACTTCAGTATTATAGGATGGCAGAAGAATATTGACTGAGTTCTTATCTTGAGTAGATAAGTAGGGCTGAGGGAAGTTGTTATTACCAGTTATACAAGCTTTCCAGCAAAGAAGAGTCTGAAATTCTTCTGTGGTATGTTTCTCCTCATTGATTCTTCCCCTTCATTTCTTTTTATCTCATCTCCTTGCATATACCTGTATTTCCCTCTTCCTTTTCTTTATTATTTCCTCTCCAAATATTTTGTCATGCTTCATCTGCTATTATATAAATAGGAAAAACGAGAATTACCTATAAGTTAATTCTAAGGGGTTGTCAGATGCATAGGCACAAGCCTTTCAGTTTCCTGTCTGTGTTGTATCCAACAGACAGATGTGCCACCCGTCGGTGTAGAGAGCGTTGTCCCCACCCACCAAGAGGAAACGTGTCGGAGTAATGCGAGTCCATTTTCTTTCAGCTGGTCTACCGATGCACAGCAACCAGCCAATCCTGCTGTCTCAAGGGTATCCGTACCTCAATGTCAGTTACATTCAGCAGAAAAAGTGACATTTAATGGAAAGCAAAACAAATCAGGTCCTGATTTAAAATTTTAACACGTTTAGATAGCTTATTTAAATTCTAAGACTGTTTTTAAACACTGTATTATTTGTATATAAATATGAACTATAGTTTTTACTAGTATCACTAAATTGAGTGATACAAATTTCATCTATTTTATTACCCTATTTTTAAGGGAATTTTATGTTTTGTTTAACCTTGATGAATTGTATAAAGAGAGAATTTAAAAATTACATTCTTTATTTTCTATTAGCTGTATTCATACTTTGGTTGCTTCAGACTTTATATATATATTGTTCTTAAGAATTAGGAAAGGATTTCATGTGTTTTAAATTTGTCACTTCTATTCTTTACAGAACCTTGTAGTGCCAAAAACTTTTTAAAAGGTAAAAGAATAAAATAAAACTACAACATGAAGATTCAAAATCTTTTTCTTTTACATACTTGTATATTGAATATATTCAGAAAGTTGCTTTTGTCTGTATTTGCAGTTCTATTTTAAGTTAATAAATTTTTTTTATAAGAGTCAAATTTGGTTAATTCATCTGGGTTAGATGATGGAACTATAACAGGAATTCAAAGGTCTGTTTTACTTTTAGTGAGTATTCTAAATCAAGCATACACATCTTAGGATCTTTTCATGAAAAATCCCTTATTCTTTTGGATTTTTCATAACCCTATGAAGATGATGGCTGCAGGTACCTTCTCTATTTCATCACTGAAAGTGTGACTTTAAAGTATCAAGATTTCCTTGAAAATTAATGTTCAAATATTTCATCTTCCTCCAGTCTTGGAGAACAGGTGATGAAGTGTACATGGGTATTCATTTTAATGTTCTCCGTACTTTTGTATATATCTGAAATTTTCGTTGAAAAAAACAACAAAATCTGTAACACAGAATGCCCCCAGCTTAGCTTTCCTTCCTGAAGGCAGTATACTATAAGGCAAAAGTTATTAATCGATAACCTGATAATTAATAACCTTGGTTTTACTTACAGAATTATAGTACTAATTTTCAGTATCTTGCTTTTCCTCTTTCAGTAACTGCCAGTGTACAATAACTGGCAAAATGTCCAAGTTGAAAAACAGACAATTCTAGTTTATTATTTATCCAACAGTAACTCAGTTTTATAAGTTTGCAAAGTTGAATTCAGATTCATAGAAGAGCAACTGAACTAAGTTATCCAGAGAGAACACACACACAACTATTGACTTCATATTGTTGTGAAATATTTTATATTGTTTGACATGAAGGTTAAATTTTCCCTTGCTATTATGATTATTCAAAAATACATAAATAATACAATGTATAATTTATTTGTCCGGTCTTCTTCAGATACATTTTTTGCTGTTTCTAGCTTTTCTCGTATATATAAAATGTATGTAAACAATGATAGGATAAAGTTATTTACATGTACATTTATTGTTAGGTTGAATTCCTAAAAATGGGATTATTGAGTAAAAGGATGAAAGTTCTAAGTATTCTGCTACATATTGTCCAACTGCCCTCCTGAAAGAGTGGTTACCAATTTGCAGTAGCAACCAACAAAGTATAAATGTATTAGTTATGCTTATAAAAAAACCTTTAAATTGCTGTTATTTTTTCCTTGTAAAAAAAATTAATGTGTTTATCAAGGAAAAAAAATAGCATTATATAAAAGTACAAAGTATACAAACCACTCAAAAGTCCATCAAACAGAAATAAGTATTAGTACCTTGTAAGCTTCATTCATTCTAGCCATCTCAGAGATATGTACAATTTTACAAAAGTAGGCTCATATATCATATTTAACAAACATAGCAAATTAATTTCACCTGAATTCAATAGAATGAAAACAAATATGAAACTGAAGAAATGCTCAACTAAACCCCTCGTCCCCATAAGAGTTTAATTCTAAAAGATTCCTCTTAAAATTAAGGACAATTATGGAAAACAGTGAAAAGGTTGGTGTTTTTCTTTTTGGGAGTTGAGGGTACCAGGGATTGAACTCAGGGGCACTCAACCACTGAGCCACATCCCAGCCCTATTTTGCATTTTATTTAGAGACAGGGTCTCACTGAATTGCTTAGTGCCTTGCTATTGTTGAGGCTGGTTTTGAACTTGAGATCCTCCTACCTCAGCTACTGGGATTACAGGTGTGCACCACTGTGCCCAGTCCTATATGATAGATGAAACCAACAAATTTGAGTTTCTTTACTTATGTTTATTATTTCCACATAGGACCATGTTCATATTAATTTGAACCTTATAATCATTTCTTTTGTTTAAAAGTTTCTAAAATGTTTATTACTACTCCTTTTATAGCCTTCTCTTCTTATTTGGTTAAATTTTATTACCAGGCATTTTTTTTTCTCCCAAAGTTCACCACTGTATAATTTTATTACATACTTGAGAATATTTATTCCCTTTATAAATTTTTTTGGGGGTGGGTACTGGGGATTGAACCTAAGGGTGCTTTACCACTGAGCTATATCTCTAGTCCTCTTTTCCTTTAAAAAAAAAAAAAAAAAGTAAAAAAATTTGTTTTGTTTTCGGAAACAGGTCTAAGTTGCTGAGGTTTGCCTCAAATTTGTAATCCTACCTTAGCCTGGGATTACAGGCATATGCCACAACACCCAGCATATTGACTTTATACTTTAAGGAAATTTTGGCAAAATATGAAATTGACACAAATTTTTTCTAACTTTGGAGCCCTCTGCTTTACTGCATTCCATAAGTTTGTTACATGAGCTCAGACCATCTTGCTTCATCCCTGTTATTTGATTTCTCAGCTTAGATCCTAACATAATTTCTAGTCTTTTTAATTCATCAGGATATTTGAGAATGCTGGGGTTCCTTTTGTATATTTTTGGTATTATTTTGATAGCTTTCTTTACCAGTTTTTATTTCCTTTGTTTGTTTTCTCTATGCCTTGTTTTATTTTTTAGAGACAGCTCTTGCTGTTGCCCAGGCTGGCTTCAAGTGATTCTCTTGCTTCAGCCTACAGAGTAGTTCGGATCAAAGGCATGCACCAATGCATCTAACTGTATTTTGTGGTGTGTAATGAGACTTTCATTTCTATTTATAAAATTTTAACTTTTTTAAGCCCCACCCATCTTATTTTCCATTTGTTTTAATCTTTTTTTTTTTTGAGCCCATATACTTTTTTTTGTACTAGGGAATTGAACCCAGATATACTCTTAACACTGAGCCACAATCCCCCCACCCACCCAGTCTTCTTTATTTTTTAGAGACAGTGTTTCTCCAAGTTGCTCAGTCTGGCCTCAAACTTGGGATCCTCTTGCCTCAGCCTCCAGAGTTACTATGATTTCAGTGTATACATTGTGTGTGGAAATTTTACTTTTAACCTTCTTGAGGGAGTGACAGTCATCTGTGATCATTCTTTCTTGATCAATGCATATTTACTGAATAACAGGAAAGATTAGTGGAATGGGCTTGAAGTTGGGTTGTTAAATTGGAACCTTCTCACCAGCCATTATTTCCTTTGTCCTTGGGAACACATCTCGCTTCATTTCTTAGCATTAAGAAGTCCTTGTGCCCAGTAGTATTTAAGACACTATTTCAATTTGTAGAAAGTGATGCTGAACATGCATTTTGCATAAGGAGTAAGAATTCTTTCCTAAAATTTGTTTCAGTACAAAGTATACATATGTACAAAAGGTAAGTTGTGAAATACATTTAATATAGATTGTAGCAAAAAAATTTTAACACTACAATTCTGATTTATTAAAATGATCTTGAAAGATATGTTCAACATATCCAGCTCACATCTCTTTTTTTCTTATTAAAGAATAGGGATGCCTTGCTCTGTGCTATAAAGTTGTCATGCTGCCCCAATTTTGGTCCAAAGTCATCATATATTTAAATAACTATGCGTTTAACATTTACATTTGGGGAGGTTTTTGTTTCTTTTATTAAAAATTTGTGTGAGGGTTTTACTTTAGTATAAAAACACGAGTGTCCCCAGTAAAATATGTGGGTGTGTATATTAAAAAAATTATATTGGGACAGGGTCTAAGTTGACCAGGGATGATATTCCTGGCCTCAACCTTTATGGCTGGTATTAAATTTTTATTTAATAATATACTCATAATGACTTGGTTGGTCCATAGGCCTTTCCTTTTCACCTATGTCACCTCAGTACAGAAATAATTGCTAGGAGTCTGTAATAGCCTTAAGTAGAGGTGCTTATAGTTGTATCATAAGGCGTAACAGCTCTCAGGGACAACTTCCATTCAGGTGTTGTCATGAAAGGAATCACTTAAGAATATGAAAGCTCAAGTAGATCAAAAGATGCTTTAATAATGCTGTATAAGTCCTTCAGTTCAATAGTGAGCAACAGAAATGTTTATCCTATGACCAGATGACTTTCCAAGAAGCTGGATCCTATAAGGCAAGCTGGTCTTCAAAATTCCTCCTGGTACTAGAACTGTAGGAAGTCATTTAATCATTTTTCCTTTATTAAAGAAGGACAGGTAAGTACAGGTAAAAGGAACTTTTGGTTTTTAGTTGTAGATGCACATACATTTTTATATGGTGCTGAGGATCGAATCCAGTGTCTCACACATGAGGGGCAAGTGCTCTGCCATTGAGCTATAACCCCCACCTCTAAACTTCTGTAGCAAAGTCTAATACTCTATTGACCATCAGGGCCAATGGGGACATTTAAAAGTCTTACTATGCTTCTGTGTCCTTAGACTCTTAGCTTTTTTGACCTACTCTCTTCTAATTCTTCTTTGTGAATAATTCACTTGTTTTATATAGGTGACTTGTACTTCTTTGTCAATAATGTTGGTGTTGCCTATGGTGCTGTTGTTTGTTCATCTTTTACCTACATGCACACCCTGGGCAATCAATCTCATCTTCGTCTTCTGCAATTACATAAACATCAGTTGTAGACTAGATCACTATGCTGAACTGTATCCCTATTTCTAAACCATCCGGAATTTATGTAGTTACACTGCACACCATAACTGCCTCAAATTAAACTTGTTAAATTGAATGCATCATTTTCATTATCACCTTGATTTATCCTCATTCTCTACCCTTCTAAAAACCTGTCTTCCTACTGTACTTAAAAATATTTTTTAGTTTTTATTTTTATTTTATTTATTTGTATGTGGTGCTGAGAATCGAGCCCAATGCCTCACACATGCCAGGCAAGCACACTACCACTGAGCCACAACCCTAGCCCCTTGACTTTTTAATTGCACGACCGTTGAGCAACGTGGGTCAAAACCATGATTGTTACTACTTTGCTCTCCATCAAATCTTTTCCAGTTCTTTAGACCTACTGCTACTGAATAGTACTTGCAGAATAAAGGCTAAGGATCTGAACCTGGAATTCAGGGCTTATGGGGAACAACAAAGTGGTACTATACAGGAATGTGCTGTATAAAGGGTGACAAGTGCTACTGCTGAACTGTTTGATGAAACTGGCTTGAATGAGCCAGATAAAGTATTATGTCTGAATGTATTCTAATCCTGCAAAAGTGCGGCTCACCAGTCAATTTTCAGGTTTATTACCACTTTCTACTGCTGGGAAAAAAGTTACTATATTTTTACTGATTTATCCTCATTCCCTGCCCTTCAATCATTTTTTCTTTATTAATTAAAGAAGGAAAGGTATATATCCCAAGACTCTCAAAGCAGTTCTAACCACCAAGCAAACCAAAAACTAAACAACAATAAAAACAAAAGGGCAAATGTCTATGTCAAGTTTAATAACAAAAAAGAAAAGGGTCGCTCATCAGGTGGCCAGATCCTTTCTCATATTCCCAACCCCCAGATCCTTTCCTAGCCTCATAAGTTTGAATACAGTTATAGTTATTAGTTGGGTCAAAAACTGACATGAAGAAACATCATCCCTCAAAGATCCCTCAAAGATATTGATTACAGTTCAAAAAAGGAGGCAAAACTCAGCACCTTTTTCATACAAAAAAAAAAAAAAAAAGTAGAAAAACTTGATAAGAAAAAACTAAATTGCTCTTAAAGCTGCCTGGAAAACAGATCTTAATTCTTCCACATGAGTAGATACCCTCATAATCAAAAGCTGAGTTCACTATTCATTCCCTCTCCGGCTCTTCTTGTGGCTTTTCTTAGACCTGAAATGGCAATATATATATATAAATTATTAATTAGGCAGCGAAGAATTCGTGAGAAAGTCCATGATATGGTTGACAATGATAAGGATGGAGATGACACCTAATACTCATTAAATGTGTGGGTTAAATTGTGTGTGTGTGTGTGTGTCTCAGAGCAATAGAGTTGGGCATTATTATCCAATTTTATCATTGAAGAAATGAACTCTTTCAGAGGTTAAAAGCACATAGGTTTCTAATAAAAGCTGAACAAATGAAAGTGAAAGTTGGTGCTTTAGCACAATTCACAGTAGTTAAACTGTGGAACCCACCTACATGAATGGATAAAGAAAATATGGTACATATACACAATGGACTATTACTCAGCAATAAAAGAATCATGGCATTTGCATGTAAATGGATGAAGTTGGAGAATATAATGCTTTAAGTGAAGTTAGCCAATCCCCCAAAACCAAATGCCAAATGCTTTCTCTGATATAAGGAGCCTGATTCATAGTGGGGTTGGGAGGGGGAGTATGGGAAGATTAGATGGAACTCTAGATAGGGCAAAAGCGGGTGAGAGGGAAAGGAAGAGAGGGCATGGGGGTTAAAAAAAGATGGTGGAATGAGATGGATACCATTACCCTAAGTACGTGTATGAAGACACAAATGGTGTGAATACACTTTGTATACAACCAGAGATATGAAAAATTGAGCTTTATATGTGTAATACGAATTGTGGTAATACACTGTCATATATAATTTTTTTTTTTAAGTTGGTACTTTAAAACCTACGTCTACTGAGACCATAGCTCATTTGTTATCCAAAGCCATAATCTTACAAAGAAAAACACACAGTGTAAAAGAAGTATAATCCTAGTAATTCTGAGGGCAAAAGGCCTACTTTGTCTTAAAATGAGAAATTCTTATCATCCTCATCAAAACAAGGAAATTTTAGGTCTAGCTCATTTGTAATTGGGACTTTCTACCCATACCTTTCAGGAGATTTTGAATGGCTCCTATGTCTGTGACTTCGGTGATGACCTGGAGAAGAAAAGGACATTGGATAAGTCAGATTCTATCCTTTTATTCTTAAACTGGTATCCTCATCTCCCCCAATTCTTCCCATTAGCTCAACACTCTTTGGCTTATGCTAGGGACCCCTCTTGTTGATAATACTTCTTTGAATTGGTGTGTGTGTATTAGTACTAATGAAACCACTTCATATACCTTCAGAGCTTTATGGCTAATTTCACAAACACCATGTCGGGTTTCAACCACTACTATAATTTAAGATGAAAAACTGGCCAGGAGCAGTGGTGCATGCCTGTAACCCCAGTGACTCAGGAGGATCTCAAGTTTGAGACCATCTTTGGCAGGTTCCACGCTACCTTCAGAAACTTAACAAGAGACCTTGTCTCAAAATAGAAAGGGCTAAGAATGTAGTTCTGTGGTAAAGCACCCCTGGTAAAGAACCCCTGGGTTCAATCCCCAGTGCCACAAAACAAAAAAACCTGAAGCCCATTATCATATTAGCAAAGACTCAAGATGTGAACCCTAATTTTCAAATTCTACATCCATTTATTTTTCTGTTAAGCAACAGTGAGATATTGTAAGAGATAACAAAGAAATCAAAGAGGCATAGTTTAAGACAAGCAACACCAAGGCACAAATTCTGTTACCTGGAGACTTGGAGCGAGATCTGTGTCGTCGATCACGGGACCTGCTCCGGTGACGTCTTGGACTCTTGCTCCGATGCCTTTCTCGGCGGGGTGAGGGGCTGTTGAAAAGACTGGTCAACCCACCAGATCTGTTTGACAATATACACACAACATCAACAACCCCTCCCCAAACCCTCTCCTTCATCAAAATTGATTGAAAGCCTACCTTCGTCTTTTGGGAGATCGACTCCGCCTACAAAGAGGAGGAAGAGAGCCTAGGTTAATGTACTGGATGTTGGTAGAGTGCAAGAATAGCTCCAGTTCTTTTTTGGGCAAGTACTAGGGATTGAACCTAGTGGCCCAGATTCATATTCTTTACCTTTCTCTGTATCCATGTCTTGTCATGTAACTTGTAGCACCCGCTCACTCTTAACTCTAGCTTTGTCAATGGGATATTTGCAAATGTGATACAAGCAGATACTGGAAGAATATCTGCAGGAATGAATTTGTTTGCTCTTAAATTTTCCAATTGTCACTGAGAACACAGCTAACTTAGCCTGCTGGAGGATGAGACACAGAGAAGTTGCCCTAGCCATCCTTGCTAAGGTCTCTCCTGTATCAGTAAACAACTGATCAAAAAACAAGTGAGAAACATAGAACTTATAGTCCAAACACTGCATATATGAGCCCCACTTACATCACTGAGAAATACTTGTGAACTAAAGAAACATTTTTTATCTGTGAGTGAGGTTTTGTGAGTGATCATTTTGTAGTAATAGATCATTAAGACATCAGGCAAACATTTCTCCATAAACTAGCATTTTTCTTTTCCTACAATCTAAACTCCTAGGGTATAATCCTCAAAATCTCCCTTGAAAAGGTCAAGGACTAGAGCCTTACCTTCTGGGAGACCGACTCCTACTCCTCCTGTAGCGCAACGTTGGAGAGCGACGGGGCTTGTCCAAGTCTCTGTAGCTTCTGCGGCGGTGGTCAGGTGATGGTACTCTTTCCAACTGGAAACGAGATAGATGGGTAAGTGATGGCCACAGGCTTATTACAGACAGCTGTCTAGTAATACTGATTATTGTCTCCTCCCATCCTGTCCCAAGTCTATCTCTAAGTGACTATACAACACAATAATTTGACTACTTGCAGGGATAACCCTAAAGACAAAAAAGAACTACCAGAAAACATTTTTCAATAATCCTATTATTATTCCTAGTGTTAGTATTCTTATTCTGGGACTGTGTGAGTATAATAAGAAATAAGTATTTCTTTTAACAAGTTGGATTTTCAACATACAAGAAAACAGAGATATAAGATCAACAATGTTAAATACAAAGTATTTTAATCTTAAAAAAAAAAAAAAAAAGATTCCTTTAGTTCTGCCAAATGTAAAGGCCTAGTAACACCAATTAACCTGGTAGCAATGACCACTTATAGTGCCTAGACTGCAGTATCTGAATACTATTTACTATTAAAAGAAACCAAGAGGGGCTGGGGATGTGGCTCTGTGCAGGGTGCTGGGTTCGATCCTCAGCACCACATAAAAATAATATAGATGTTGTGTCCACTGAAAACTAAAAAATAAATATTAAAAAAAAAAAAAAAAGAAGAAACCAAGAACTTCTGGGAGAAATGGTTAATTCCAGGTCTGGGGCATAGTATACAAAATATGACTGGAATGTTTTGTTACGTGAGAAACCAAGGATGGTGTATAAAAGACTTCTGTGAACCGGGTGCAGTGGTACATGCCTACAATCCCAGCAACTCAGAATGCTGAGGCAGGATGATCACAAGTTTGAGGCCAGCCTCAGAAAATTAACAAGACTGTGTCTCCAAATAAAAAATGAAAAAGGGCTGGGGATGTAGTTCAGTGGTAGACTATCCCTGGGTTCAATCCCTAGTACCACCCCTACCCCCCAAAAAAAGACTTCAGTGAAAGTATTAATAAAACCTCAAGAGTTAGGTTGAAGAGGCCTCTATGGGCCAAAGATGGGAAAATTTTAGCATTAATGTAGATAGTGATGAATGAAAATACCACATCTGCTTAAATCCAGGAGCTCAAAATATTACCAAGGACAAAAAAGCATCATCTAGGAAAGGCACTAGAGAACCAAATTCATTATTTTAAACTGGTAAAGGAAAAGTTAATCTTGCCTTGTCTATGAAAAACTAAATGTTCATTTGGGGGTGTTTTCTTTACAGGAGGATTTCAGATTAAAATGCTGAAAAAATGGAAAATTAGAATATATCACCGTTTTACAACACCTAATGGATCTAGGCATTGATCCTAACATCAAAAAAGGTGAGACAATTCCAGAGACTTGGGAGGCTGAAGATGGAGGACGGACTGCATGTTTGAGGCCAGCTGTAGCAATTTAGCAAGACCCTCTCTCTCAGAATAAACAAAAAATGAAACAAGACAGACTTTATGCTTATGAAATAGTGCTGCTCCACTTCAAAGGAGATAAACCCCCCCAAATCTGATTAAGCCTCAAGATTTAATAACTAATGGGAATGATACAAAGGGCACAGGAAAATGTTAGTAACATCACAGATAAAAATCAGAAAAACAGACTGTAAATTTGTGTAGGATAAATGATCTGATAATAATAATATCACAAAAATGTACGATAAAACAGTGAAAGATGGAACTTACAGACTTAAAGATGCTTTAAGAGTCATAAAAACCAACTATGATGGGGATGGGGCTGAGCGGTGGCACAGTTGCCTGGCATGTGTGAAGCAGAGGACTTGATTCTCAACATGGTGTATCTATCAACAACTAAAAAAAAAAATTAAAAAAAAAAACCAAAACAACTATGATGTATGGACACTGAACACTTACTCAATTAAACTTAAAAAATACAGGATAGGGCTGGGGTTGTGGCTCAAGTGGTAGAGCACTACACTAGCATGTGCGAGGTGTTGGGTTTGATCCTCAGCACCTCAGTAAGTAAATAAAATAAAGGTATTGTGTCCAATTACAACTGAAAAAAAAGCATTTTAAAAAAACACAGGATAGGGGCTGGGGATGTGGCTCAAGCGGTAACGCACTTGCCTGCATGCGTCAGACGCTGGGTTTGATCCTCAACACCACATAAAATAAAGATGTTGTGTCCACCGAAAACTGAAAAAAAAAAGAAAAAGAAAAAAAAACCACACAGGACCTAAGGGGCTGGGGATGTGGTTCAAGTGGTAGCACGCTCGCCTAGCATGCCTGAGACACTGGGTTCATTTCTCAGTACCACATAAAAACAATAAAGATATGTGACCACCTAAAAATAAAATTAAAAAAAAAATATATAGGATAGCTGGGGAAATGCAAACGTCCAATACTTGATGATATTGTTGATTTGCAGGAGGGAATGATGATGGATGGTATCATGGTTTTGCTTAAGAAGGGAGCCTCTATCTTTTCTAAAATAGTATGAACTCATGATGTTCGTGATGTACTTCAAAAAAATTGGTATGGGTTAACTGAGTTGGAACACAGAGGAAAGAAAATTGGTTATGACTGATTATGGCTAAAAGCTGAGTAATGAGTATATGGAGGTATATTTTCTCCACTTCAGCATGTCATTGAAATTTTCCATTAAGAAAAATGAATGTCTACTTTTGATTCATTTCCCACAGAAGAGCACCTCAGCCCTGTAATGCTTTTAATTTGTGGAAGAATGCCCTGCCTTATGCACTTACTTTACAGGAAGCCTAGGGCTTCCTGTAAACAGTGCATATGTTTCCATTTGCACTGACTGTTTCAATACATAAGCCAGCATTTCTACTTTTTCTACTGCTTTTTGTGTATTTTTAATACTGAAGTAACTTCTAGCCATAGCAAGGTGGCCAGCCTGGACTGTATGTATTATCTCCTGAGATAGTGCACTCAATCTTTTTCCTATAAACCCTAATAATTTTAGCATGCACTTATTTTCTACACACATTATATGTAAGGTTTAGAACACACAATTAATGTTATTATAGAAACACTTATAAACTTGCTATTTTTACTGGAACATATTAAATTTGACAATTGTAGAGAGGTTACATGTCTTTATAGGAGTTAACCTACAAGACAGGGTTCACATTTCTATTCTGCTCTCCACAGCGTATTAAATTACTGCCTATTTTCTAAGTTTATACCTAGCTCAGTGGTGGTAGACACTTGTCTAGAATATGTGAGGCCCTGGGTTCAATCCTAGTACTGCAAAAAAAAAAAAAAACAATTAATTAATTAAATTTAATTTTAGGCTCAAGACACAGCTCAGTACTAGAACACTTGCTTAGCACGCACAAGGCCGTGAGTGGAATCCCTAGAACTGTTAAAAAAAAAAAAAAGTTATGCCAAATGACCCATACCATCTAAGTTTCTGTAAGTATACTCTGATGATGACTGTATAATAAAATTGAACAATGAAGTTCTCAGAACATATTCCTATCCATTTGCAAAAATGACTGCAAATCATTTTTGGAGGAAAAATTTCCACCTTCAGTTTATCACCAGAGCAACCTCATCAATCAAGTTTAAGCACCAAATATCAGCAATCATATGAGAAGGTGAGATGTTATGACCTAGAGTCAGCAGTAGCAACAGACAGAAGTAGACACCTCCAAGACTGACACTGAATTATCAGGTAGAAAACATGAGTTATGTATGATATGTATAAGTAATTAAAGGCACAGTCAGAACAACTAACAAGAGATATTTAGGAAAAAACAAGTGAACTGGGAAGAATACCTGAAGAAATTAAGCAGAATACATGACTGAAATAAGATAGAAACAGTTACAAGATGGACCAAATAAGAACTTACATACTTCTAATGGAACCCCTTAAAGAGAGAATGGAGAGACAAGATCAAGGGCCTTAATACCCTAGAGCTGATGAAAAACAGCTGGAAAGCAAAATGAAAACAAACACCAAATGAAGTAATCAATAAAAGGAAACTTGAGTCAGATCATAATAAAACTACAAAATAACAAAGAGAAGATCTTAAAGCTGTCAGGAGGAAAAATATCACAGATTACTCTTAAAAAAAAAAAAACTAATTAGAATGAAAGCAGACCACTCATAGTTGATAATGGTTGCCAGAGGATTGAACAGTATTTTAAAAGTGCTGCTGTGGGAAAAAACTGTCAATCTAGGATTGTGTACTAATAAAAAATATCTTTTAAGAATGACAGTGAAATAATCATTTACAGGTAACCAGAATTTGCTAGGAAAATACCCATACGAATAGAAATTCTTAAGAATTACACAGGAAGGAAGAAGATAAATAAAAAGTGTCAGAGATGCAAAAGGGATGAAAGAATAAACATCTATAGACACTAACAAACATGGTCTATAAAAAATAAATTGTGGAGTTTAAAAAGTATTAAATCCTGCCTAATAGTTTTATGAATTGATATCATCATTTTCAATTCATCATTTATCTGATTGCTTCTTAACAGCTTTTCAGCATTTTAAATGATTGAAAGAATGACTGCAATAGGCACTCTTTTCCACTAAACTAGGCTTATTGCTTAGAACAGGTTCAACTCTCCCAAGTTTTTATTTTAATAGGTACATTTATCAGGCAATTAACATACGCCAATACTAAGAGCTTTATATATATAATCTACTCATTGAATACTCATTAACAATTTTGAGAAAAAAGGATTACTATTCTCACTTTCAGTTTTTAAGAAAACTAAGGTTATGCAATTTACACATGCTTATACCACTAGTAGGAGGCTGTGGGTAGTGTAGTTCAGTGGTAGATTATGTCCTTATTCTGTGCAAGGCCAGGGTTCAATCCCCAGCATCAAAAACAAATTTTAAAAAAGAACATTAAGGTTACACCTATAATAAATAGCAGAGCTATGAATCAAGGATTTATACTTTTAAAATGAGGCATTTCCTTTTTTTGTTAAATATTGAAGCCTGAAAACAAAACACAAAAAGCTTACTTCCACCCTTTCCCAACCCTTAAATTCTTGTCTTACCTTCTCATCTTCTTCTTCCTCCTCCTCACTGGACTCCACATCATCCATGTCCTCTTCTAGAGCACTAACTCGAGGTTCCAGTTGCTCAGCTTCCTCTAGCACATAGCGTTTCTACAGAGAACATAAAAAAGGGATCACTGCCATCTTCTCTGTCCTGAGGCCCCAACACTGCATTTCTTGAATTGTCAGAAAAGTATGGTAACTGTACCTCAGACAGTTCAGATTTTCCTAAGGAGTTTAATACATCTGGAGTCTATATACTCTTTTTAAGTTACCCTACAATCATAAATACAAAGCTGAGGGGAACAAATTCATTTTCTATTGGTTCTGTTTTCTTTTACCTTATACTGTTATGTCACTAAAATATCAGTATATGTATAGCCAAATATGTGAGCATTATATACACATAAAATCCAAGGGCTGGGTCTAGGATTGTAACTCAGTGGTAGAGCACTTACCTAGCATGCATGAGGCAGCAAGTCAATCCTCAGCACTGCACAAAAATAAAACAAAGGTATTGTGTCCATCAACAACTTAAATTTAAAAAATCCAAGGGCCAATAGGTTTATGGCTGAGACTGTGTTGGGTATTATTTCCAAAAGAAGAGGCCTAGCCTTAGAATAACACCAAATGTTCATCAGACCCAAGATCCAGGAAGCTGTTGAGATTCTTCATGCATTTTGAATTGGGCCTAAGCAAACAGTTCATCTCCTGGTTCCATTTTCTTTTGGGATATGGCTTAGCAGTGACTAAGAAACTGAGAGGCAAAGTAAGTCAGGACTGACTGAGTGATAAGACCCCTTACCATTTTCTTGCTCAAAGGAAATAAAGAATGTTGGATGATTTAGATGGGTAGCTGTAGAATAGGTAGTATTATTTGTATGCTATCTAGCTCTCACTCATCTTCTATCAAAATTCTATGAAATCAATATATCACTTCTTAGAGTCTGTGTTTGGTGGAATGAGAATTCAAAGCAACTCCTTGCAAATGTCAGGGTGCACCTAACAAAAGTTCATCAGGAAGCTGGGCATGATGGTGCACACCTATAATCTCAGTTACTCTGGAGGTTGAGGCAGAAGAATTGCAAGTTCCAGGCCAGCATCAAGCAACTTAGCCAGACCATAAGTAATTTAGCGAGACCCTGTTTCAAAATAAATAAAATGGGGCTAGGGACATGGCTCAGTGGTTAAGTGGTTCAGTCCCCAGTATCAAAACAAAACAAAAACAAATGAAACAAACCAAAAAACTCAACTGGAGCTGGGCCACTGTGGATGCACACCTATAATCCCAGCTGATTATGAGGCAGAAACGGAGGATTACAAATTCAAGGCCAGTTTAGGCAACATCTTTGAGACCCTCATCTCAAGGGGGGAAAAAAAAAAGTTAAAAAAAAAAAAAAAGTTAAAAGCTGTAGTTTGCTTGAGAAGAATAGAATCAGGTCAAAAGATAGTCCTGGAATTTTTTTTTTTTTTTTTTTGGTACTGGGCATTGAACCCAGGACCTGGCATATGCTAGGCAAGTGCTCTACCCTGCTGAGCTATACCCCTACCCTACAAAAGGTAGGCTTAAGAGTTACTTTAATCAGGACACATAGAGGCACATACCAGAGCACACCTCTTGGTAATATGTTAACATTTATAAGTCACATTTCAATTTCCCTCCTCAGTTCTTTTTCAAAGTTGGTTTGGATATTCTAAGTCCCTTGTACTTCATATAAATTTTTGAATTAGCTTGTCAAGTTCTACAAGTTTACTAACATTTTGATTGAGATTGCATTGAATAAATTTGGGAGAACTGACAATATTAAATTATTGTACAAGATATAACACCAATGTGATACATATGGTATCCAATTTACTTTTCTTACTTTATCATGGTGTGAAAGTAAAATGCACTCAGTAGGCACTGCACTTTGAATTATCATCTATTACCAAGCTAGTGAATCACAGTATATACTTCTTCATGTTTTTACTTCAGGCTTTTATTTTATTACATCTAAAGAGCTCTACATAAACAGGTAACATCAATTTGTAAACAATGTTTTCCAATGCATGTAATAAATATTTTCACTTTTAAACAACTGACACTGGTGTACATACTTCTTGATTCTGAGCTGTGGCAGTAAGCAAAAGCTCCCAGTCATGTGATCATATCGGTAAACAATTGGTAGTCTATAGTATAATGTGCTATCTCATTATACAAGTAGGCTTTGTATTAGATGATTTTGCTCAAATCCAGGCTAATGTAAGTAAGTGTTCTAATAGGTTATGCTAAGCTAGAATATTTAGTAGGTTAGGTGTAATAAATACATTTTCAACTTAAAATAGGTTTATTGGGAGTAACCCTATCACAAGTTGAGGAACATCTGTATATCTCTCCATTTATTTATTTCTTGTTTAATTGCTCTCAGTAATGCTAAACTATTTTGTAGTATAAAGTGTATAAGTCTTGCTTCTCTTTTGACAAAATATTCTTATTTTATATTTTTATGCTGCTATAAATGTTGTCTTTTTAATAAGATTTCAAATTCTAATTGTTCATTGCCAGTGTATAGACCTACAATTGATTTTTGTATATTGACCTTGTATTCCCTAATTATGCATGAACAAGTAAATGGCTATACATACTGGAGTGCTACTCAGCAATAACATGTAACAAATCAATACACATGCATAACATGGATGAATCTCAAGATATTTATGCTGAATGAAAAAATAATGTTTTATATTTCAAAACATGAAGTAATCTATTACAACAGCACATCAACAGGGCTAAGTGAGAGGAGCGGAAGGAAGGGATTCACTATCTTGATTGTGGCAATAGTTTCATGTGGGTATACACGTATTAAAACTTATCAAATTTTATAATTTAAAATATAGTTTATTGTGTGTCAGTTATACTACAAACAAGTCACTTTAAAAGCCTTATTTCAAAGGAAGTCTCCCTACCTGAGCTCCATTTATAACCTAGAGGAGAAAGGAACTATCTGTGTTAGAATATATGGGGTTTTTCAATATCTGCAAAACAAAGTTTAAAGACCACTTTCTTCATTTTATAGACAGAAACTAGGACCAGGTGCTATAAGTAATCAGGTATAACAACACAGAAACTTAAAGTTAGATCTTCTAACTTCCTGTCATCTCTCTACCCATTCTCTTTCCCTTAGGTTACCTACCATATTTTCCCTCGGAATTTTGCAAAAGCAGTTTTAAAATCATATGCGAAAGTAGTTTTAAAATCATAAAACACAACCCTGAAGGGTGTTCATGGATAATCTTCTATAAGGTGGCAGGATGATGAAAGGGGGAAATTTAAGGAATTAAGGCCTCAACTCCCATCCCCTAGCCCTCTTTTAATCTGTTTTATAGTCTGGCTTTTTACATGAATTGAAAAAAGCTGCTCACAAAGTGTAAAAATCACTACTTGGGCTACAATATCCTTGATATGACATTCTAAAGAAGAACACTTCCCTATGCTAACTTTTAACGCACCACCTTTCAAACACTTTTTTCCCTCTCACTCCCTATCCTCTTTTTCATAGATATAAAATCTTATTAAGAGGACCCCCCAAACCCAGGGCTTCAGTGTTTTAATATGTATGTGTGACTGTCTATCTGCCTATCTTAGAGGGGAAGGGTGACCCTGATAACAGATTTCTGTCTCTTACCTGTAGCCGGGGCAAAATGATATCACAGACTCTCTCACTGTGCAACAGTTCATCAATAAATTCATCAACATGCATCAGTTCAAACTCTGAAAGAAAAAAAAATCATTAGCTCAAGCAACCTGGAAATAAAGAGATTTAGATAATGTTATGGTTTGGATATGAAGTGTTTCCTAAAGATTCATGGTTTGAAGACTTGGTCCACAATGCAGCAACATTCAGAGGTGGGGCTTTTGGGAAGTGATTGAGGTCTCTGATCTCATCAGTGGATTAATTCACTGATAATGAACTCACTGGGAGACAGAACCTAGTTGGAAGAAGTAGCTCATTTAGTGGAGTGCCCTAGAAGGATATTTCTTGTCTACAGACTCTTTCTCTGCTTTCTGGCTATCATGAGCTGAGCAGCTTTCCTCTGTCATAACCTTCTGTTCTGTTCTGTCTTGCCTCAGGACCAAAGCAATGGAGCACACTGACCATGGACTGAAATCTCTGAAATTGTGATCCAAAATAAATCTTTCTTCTTTTGTTTAAATCAAGTATTTTGGTCACTGAGATAAAAAGCTGACCAATACAGATAACAACATCGAAAAAACAAAGCCCCAAAAGAATTATAATATTTATTTTATGAGGCTATCTATGTGCCAAGCCTATTTGGAAGTAAGGGCTTACGGGATAAATGAAGTTGTCACAATTAGCAAGAAAGATGAAACAAAAAGTCTTGAATTATGTAGGTGTGATCTTGAATATATTGTCTAACTCAGTTAATTTTAATACATCATACAACTCAAATTTAATTTCTCATGAACCCACAATGTTCCTAAACATAGAACATGTATCTTATTTGCCACCTGAAGTAACAGCTTTTCAGATCTTCCATAGTACAGTTCCATGGTTCTCAATCACAGGTAATTTTGCACAACCCCATCACCCTACATACAGGGAGTGCTCCTTTCATCTAGTGGGAAGTGGCCAGGGATACTGTAATGCAGAAGACAACCCCCACATTAAGAATCATCTAGCCCAAAATATCCACAGGTTGAGAAATCCTGTCTTAACAAAATATAAGCAAATTAACCCCACAATGGCAATTCCATGTCCATCTTGTTCACCATGTTATTTCTAGTATATAATACAGCACCTGCCATGTCACTGGTACTTGTCCAATGAATAAACTAATAAGTAAATAAAAGTTTAAAGTATAATATAAACTGGGCATCCTTAATCCCAAAATCCAAAATATGTTATGTAAATGTTTCAGATTTTAGAACATTTCAGATTTCTGGATTAGAAATGTTCGATTGGTAAAGTTTATGCAAATGTTCCAAAATCTGAAAAACTCTGAAATCTCAAACATTCTGGTCTTGAGTTGTTTGTGATAAGGGATACTTAACCTATACCAAATTATACTTCTACTGTTAATACATGTAGAAGAGAAAGGCAAATGTTATTATGTTTTGTTATGACACTAGTGACAAAATGTTTTGCTTGCTTCCCTCCAGAGCCTTCCTTAGTTTAGAAAGTATCTCTTTATAAAAGGTATAGAGTTGCCCCTTTGTATATATTTATTGTTTTCCAATAGGATTCTTACGTAAGTAAGAATACACTGGGGCTGGGGTTGTGGCTCAGTGGTAGAGCCCTTGCCTAGCACATGTGAGGCCCTGGGTTCGATTCTCAGCACCACACATGAATAGAAGATACTGAATTTAACAACAAAATAAGTACACATAGCCAGAAATGTGGGTTCTGGAAAAAAGTTAGTCATCTGGGTTGAAATTCTGATTTTATAATTTACTAATTCTATGACAACAAGCAATAAATAAATGTCTATTGACAACTAAACAAAATATTAAAAAATAAAAGAATACACTTAGTCTAGTCTATATACTAAATGTGAAGTACAGTTCTAGAGAAGATGTACTATAAGGAAAACTTACTTTATCTGGGAGTGCTAGGGCAATATTTTTATGGAAAAGCCATTCTGGAGCTAGATCTTGTAAGATGGAGCACATGTGGAAGGAGTACAAGATGCAAAGCAGGGATTAGCTTAAGATGCAGACAGAAAGGGAAGCAGACAGGGACAGACTGATAAGGCCAAATGGAAGCTAATAGAATGAATAGTATAGTCCCCATGAGAGAGATGAAAGACCTGATAGAAGAAGATAACAATGTAATGAAGAGGAGTACTCAGAATATGTAACAATGTAAGAATAGAAATACTGGTGAAATAAAAGCTCCTTTAAGAATGCCAGCACCACATAAAACTAAATAAATAAAATAAAGGTATTGTGTCAATCTACACCTAAAAAAAAGTATATATATATATATAAAAATATGTATAAAAAATAAATAACAGTCTAGAGATTTGGCATCATACTTACCCCCATTTCTGTTCTGGCTCTTGATTTTTCGATAGTCGTTGTACAAAGGCTCCAAGTACTTGTAGCAATCAATTGCAGTACCTGTCAGTCTCATGTAAAGTGCCCCCAACATGCGGACATACCTGACAGAGACATAACAGTGAAGCAACAGGCCAACCTAAGAAGTTTCTCAGTTTAACAACTGGCTTTTCTCATGATAGCACTGTATAAGTGTGTCCTTTCTTCTCTTTGGCAGACAAAAAGCTATTATTGGGTAGTATAGAGCAAACACCTCTAAAACATGGAGACATGAATTCAAGTTTCCTTTCTATCAATTAACTAGATGTGGAAACTTGGTACATATTGTTAAACTTTCTCATATATATCATCTGTGAAACAAGGGTAAAATCTAGTTACTTTCATAGGTTTATTCTGAGAATCAAAGAAGATACTGAATTTAACAACAGAGTAAGTACACATAGCCAGGAATGTGGATTCTGGAAAAAAGTTAGTCATCTGGGTTGAAATTCTGATTTTATAATTTACTAATTCTGTGACAACAGGCAAGGTATTTGTTTGTTTTCTTAATCCTTATAAAATGGAGATAATGCTACCAAATTTACTGACTTGTGTATTAAATAAGAAATGCAAGTAAAGTGCTAAGCACAGCACACAGCATACAGTAAGTGCCTAACTAAATTTGGCTATTTTCTAGTTGTTAATGTTTTGTAAAATTTCTTCCTTTTCTCTATCACCTATATATCTAATTTCTTACACACATCTTAAATAACAGACATTTGAAATCCATCTATTTCTTTATGAGAAGCAGAATTGTACATTTATTTATAAATTCCTTTATGATAGGTAATAATAAAGAGCGGTTCACATTTTTTTAGTTGTTTACCATGCAACAGATACTGTGTTGATATACATGTACTATCTTCTTTAAATCACTCTCCTATAAACCCTATGAGTAGGTATTGTTGACCACATTTTCCAGATTATAAAAAGCCTAGAAAATTAAGGAATGTCTTCAAAGTCACAATTACTGAGTAACAAAGTCTGCATAGGAGTCCAGATACAACACCTCTTAACTATCACCCTATGTTGTTTTCTCTGCCCCTGAATATCTATACCTCCCAACGTATTAGGCAATCGGTTCTGCTTAAGAAATATTCAGTTAATGTGCAAAACTGGCAGGGGTGATGGAGAGCTTACTGAGAAAATAAAGAAGGTTAATATTAACATGCAAAATATAAATTCAGGGCAAAAAGCTAGAGTGGAACTCTCTATGCAAATGGGAAACATCATGACCCAACTTAACTAAAGCCTCACTTTGAACCTTTTAATTGAATATAATTTGAATATAAATTGAAGCTTTTATGTTAGTCAAAATTGCACTTACTTGAAGTCTTCATTTTTTATAAATTCTACAATGATATCCTTTTCAGGTTGAATCTGAAGCATCTTCAAGGTTAAACACAAAAAGGGAGTTGGTTTTATGTTTCCACCATAGACGCCACCCACAAACCGTAACTCCATGGCTTTATCTACTACAAGTTCAGCTAAAAAAAAAAAGAAAGAAAGAAAGAAAAATAATCAGAGTGACATCCCAACATATTAGGCCTTAAGTTTTTCTTCTTGGAGTTGAAAATAGTTCAAGGTTTGTAGCTTCTACATAGTCATCAAGAATTCAATATTAGGGGTCTAGGGTTGTAGCTCAGTGGTCCACTGCTTGCCTAGCAAATGTGAGGCACTGGGTTCGGTCCTAAACACCGCATAAAAATAAAGGCGTTGTGTCCATCTACAAATGAAAAAAACTAAAATAAATAAATAAATAAAACAAATTTAAAAAATAAAATTAAAAATTAAAAAAGAATCCAATATTAAGAAAACAAGTGCACATTAGTAATAGAAATAATAATCAAAAAACCGTTAATACAAACTGAAGGTTACTACAAGCCAGGTACTCTGCTAAGCACTTCATATTACCTCATTTAATCTTTTGTGTGTGTGTGTGTGTGGGGGGGGAGCAGTACTGGCGATCCAAATCAAGGCCTCACACATGCTAGGCAAGTGCTCTATCCCAGTCCTTTTTTCCTTTGATTTTGAGGCATGGTCTAGCTAAATTAGTTGCCCAGGCTGGCCTCTAACTTGCCATCTTCCTGCTTCAGCTCCCTGAGTCAATGGGACTACAAGGTATGTACCACTACCCCTGGCTCATTTAATCTTTACAATGTTCCAGCATTGTCCCTATTTCCGTGTAAGAAAAATGAGGGCTAAGAAAGGTTAAGTGACTTACTTGCTCAAGGCCCACAGCCAGTGCCACAGTACAAAGATTTAATGCCAGAATTTAAAAAAAAAAAAAAAAAAAAAAGATTTGAAGACCACCTAGAAGACTTCTCTCAAGAGGACGCGAACATGGAAATACTAGAACTGACTAAGATTTAAGGACAGTCAAGACTATGGGTTTTGGGCATGGGGATGTTCGTTTAAGACCTGCGGGAAGTTATGTCAAAGAATTATATCTGGGCTCCTTGAGTTTAAAACTATTTGTAACCCAGGAGGCTATCGTCAAATATGGAACGACTCAACTAAGACGCCTTTCAGAATAAAATAAGATCCCATCAGATTCATTAGTGTCCTCAATGCTCAAGACTAGTCAAGACACACAACAGGCGCTTTTTCTGGATGACTGACATACACCTCTCCGGTACCACCGCCAGAGTTGGTCCTACTGGCACCGAGTCTGGAGAAACGGGCCACAAGACAGTCCAGAGGGGATCCGCGCGCTCTTGCTCACCGGTAAGTCCAAAACACTCTTCTTTCCAGTACTTAGATTCATAGATTCGTGTCCGAATGATCTTCTCCACTAAATATTGAGGGTTGGTTCCATGGATGCTATGCGCATCCTTTACTGTACGGTTCGCCATTTTAGAATGCGTTTAGTTCTATTTCCGTCGGGTCCTTTAATGCGTCACATCCGGTTTAAAAAAATTGAAAGGGACGGAGAAAGGTGAACGAAATCTCTTTAAACTGCTTAGGCGACGATCTCGGAACCGGAAACGGCTGCTTGATGAAACTTTTCCGTGTAATGCGCGCCGATCGAATCAATGATGGCCGCGGCACGTTGGAGGATATTCGTCATGCGCCCCTTAGGTGGGCGGAGCTCACTGACGCCGAGCTACGGCGATAGCCTGGGGGCGGGGTCATGCCGTTTGGCGCGAAATTTTCTTTTCTCGCGCTTCTTTCGATTCCAATCCAGGACCAACTTTGGCTACCGCGTGCGGCCTGTGGCTGTAAAGGAGGAATCCAGGTGGGGCAGGTCAGAGCTGCTGCAAAGCCCGGAGCTCCCAGAGTACGGGAGGTGAGAAGCAGAGGGCTTGCGACTCGCCCGAGGAAACTTTAGCGCCCAGTGAATGTGGCGGCCTGGGGGACAGGTGAGTGACCTCAGCTTCGAACTATGGGTGTTGTTCTTTGCAGACTCACTCATTGATTCATTCATCAGACATGCACCGAAAGCCGGTTCGGTGCCCAGGCACTTTTCTAATCCTGCTAGGAGTGGCCCTGTTTCCCACGTCCCGTTTCCTAAAAGGGTTCTTGCTCTGCTAGGGAGTAAGAATTTGCAGCGGGGAAGCCAGAAACCCACACCTGAGAAGCGTGTGCATTCTACCCTCAGTTATCCCAGACTCTCAGAAATGGTCTGAGCCTTTACTTCCATCTATGTTTCCTCGCATCATCTCCTTCTTGAGCCATAGTGTAGCAAGCGCTACAGGGAAGGCAGATCAGATGCTATTTCCCCGTTTTGCCTATGTAGAGATTGCTTCCAGAGATTTGTGTAGGTCATTTTTCGTGGCTAAGATGCCTAGGCTCCTACCCAGATTTCTCTAGATGAGTGGCTTTTAACTATAGGCTCCCATCCACATTCTTTCCAGGAGAGAAGTATAATGGCACCCTTTCTGCTGCCTCGAATTCAGCCTGCAACAGAAGGGCCTTTTAATGTGACAATTGGGAAAAGTAGTGGACTTGAATGAGTTGCGAGATCCTTATCCGGTCTACTTGTGAAAGCGCAATGATTAAACAGGATGCGGTATTTTAAGACTGTAATCCCAGCAACTCAGGAGGCTTAGGCAGGAGGATCACAAGTTCAAGGCCAGCCTCAGCAACATAATGAGGCCGCAAGCAATTTAGTGAGACCTTCTCTCAAAATAAAAAGGGTGGGTGGGTGTGGTAAAGTTTGTCCGGGTTCAATCCCCAGTACTTCAAAGAAAAAGTGCAATGATTAGATCTGGTTTTAGTTGTCTGTAAAATATGAATAATGGTATCCTCTTTTCTGCTGTATTAGTTTTTCAATGCCAATGGCATTTCCATTGTGAGAGCCTGGTTTAACAAGTTTCTCTGCAACCTTTTTAAAACTGTAATAGAGGGCCATATGTGAACTTTAGAAGTTTTCTGAATTCCCTGGGATTTATTTGCAACATTTTGTGTGACTTGTGAATTCCAAAATATTAAGTTATATTAAAAATAATACAAATTAATGTAAGAGAGTGGATTTATAATTTTGCATTTTCTCACTAATAATCTTAGAATAGTGCCTGGCACACAATTGGTACTTAATAAACAAGATTAGCCAAAAGGAAGGAAGGTTCTATTACTTCTGTTTTGTGAGTGAGGGAATTGAGGGCCAGTTGACCTCTTCTTACTCAGTGACTAGGAAGCCTGACTTACTGTTATAAGCCACCAGAAGTAAGCTCTCATAGACATTATGCAGTTCACTTTACAATCCCTGTGTGTTGTAAAGTGAAGCATTTAAGAGCACAGTCATGGGAATCTGGATGTTTAGAGTCTTGAGTTAAGGCTGTGCTATCCTGTATAAAATTGGACAGTAGTTTTCACCTTGATACTAACATATATACCTTTAATTTAGGAAATACTTATTATCGAACACTTACTGTGTACTGATATTGTTCTAGGGTTATCATAAGAATTAAATGAGATAGTTTTGATTCAGGCTGTGCATTGTGGCATAAACTTGTAATCCTAGCTATCTGGGAACTGAAAAAGGCAGATCACAACCTGGAGTCCACCCTGCACAACTTAGTGAGATCCTGTCTCAAACTAAATTTAAAAAGAGTTAGGGGTATGTCTCAGTGGTAGAGCACTTGCTTAGCATGCATAAGGCCAAGTGTTCAATCCCTAGTCTACAAAAAACGAGTTTTGTCTCAATCTTCCATACTGGCTCAAATTTTTTTATAGCAACTCCTTTATCTGTTTCCCTTGAATGTGGCTCTTAGACTGAGTGGTGTGTATATTTCACATTTCTAATATCTATGACATCTGTGTCTGATATCTTTAGAAACCAAAGCCTTTTCTAAACCAAGTCAGACCAGCCTCTCCAGTCCACTCACCATTTTTCTTGAGAAATTTGTATGCTGATGGTAGGTGAGATAAAGTTTTAGGTGGAAGGTGAGAAAGAGCAATGAGTTGATTGAAGTGTGTATTTCTCATTTATACACTTTTCTATATGTAATTCAGTGAAAAGTTAAAATAATGGGGAGTTCTTCTGAAGATGCAGCATAAGGAAATCAGCAGATTTCAGGACTTTTTTACCTTTGGTGTCTGATTTCCTTGGCTTCATGTAATTTTGTTGTCTATGTAGTTGTAGTTGGTTTAATTTCATCACTGTATAGTGCTGTTATGAATATTCTGGTTCTTGACTTTTTGGGTGGGGGGTACCAGGCATTGAACTCAGGGCATTTAACCACTGAACATCCCCACCCCTCTGACTTAGAGACAGAGTCTTGCTGAGTTGCTTAAGGCCTTACTAAGTTGCTAAGGCTGGCTTTGAACTCATGATCCTCCTGCCTCAGCCTCCTAAGCTTCTCTGCATGCCTGGCCCTGGTTCATGTCTTTTGATGATATTATGTATTTCTGTTGAAATTGCTGGGCCAAAGGTTATGCATATGTTCAGAATTTAAGAAAATTTGATTTTCCAAAGTGGTTGTGTCACTTACATTCCCTTTGGCAGTATATAAGTATTTTGGCTGATCTACATTCTCACCACAGCTGCTGTGGTCCTAATTGTTTGATTGATTTTTATTATTATTATTATATTTATTTATTTATTTATTTAGAGGCAAGGTCTCAGTTTCTGAGGCTGGCCTTGAACTTATGTCCTCTTTGCCTCAGCCTCCAGAGTTACTGGGAATTATAGTTGTGCATCACTGGGCTTGGCTCTGATTTATCTTTTATTTGTTTATTTATCTTGTGGTATTGGGGATTAAACCTCCCGTACTGTACTACTTAGCTATATCCCCAACCCTTTAAATTTTTTTATTTTACTTTGAGATAACATCTCACTAAGTTGCCAGCTGGCCTTGAATTTGTAATCCTCCTGCCTCAGTTTCCCAAGTTACTGGGATTATAGGGATGCATCACAGTGCCATGCTTGTTCTGGTGATTTTTAAAATTCCATCCTTCATTCGTTTACCTATTATATGCCTAGTCCTGACAAAGGATTACTAATGCAGTTATGAATAATAAAGAGAAGGTCTCAAGGTTTCTATTCTTTGGAATTTAACATTCAAATGTGAGAAATACAACAAATAGGAAAATAATATATGGTCATAATAGGATGGTATAATAGAACATGATGGCGGAGTAACTTTCCCACTGAGTATTCAGTGAAAGCCTCTCTGAGGGAGTTTCATCGGAGCTGAGACCTGAGCCACCCCTGTAATGCAGGAAAAGAGAACAGCAGTTACATAGTCTGAGGGCACTAACAAACTTGGTTTGTTTGACAATGGGAATAGGCATGTGGCATAGTGGTAGAGGAATTGCAGGTTATATGGTCCTGGTCCTTCCAGTAACTTTGCTTCCTCAGCCTAGGGTAAATCACATACCTCTTCCAACTATCAGACCAATAACACTAATAATTTTTTTTTTTTAAATGAAAGTGGAATTATACACCTTATGGTGCACACATTATTCTAGTCTCATCAAGTATGGCTCATGGTCTCCTAGTAAAGGAGACTTTTACCTTGACTTGGTTTTTGAAAGAGGATATCTGCTTTAGTAAACTAAAATATGGTCTAGATTTAAAATAATTGAGCATGAATTTAAAGCCCTCTTGGTATACATTTCATAGTTCTTTCCCTATGCTAGTTTTTGGTTTGAAAAAATGAGATTATTGTGTACATAAAATAAGTTGTCATAGTCAAAGTGAAAAAATTAGGCTATATATTTTACAGTTAGATTATTTGAGAATTGTAGAAGGTTTGCTGAGAAGTACTGATTTTATAAGGAAGTACTAGATGCTATTTCCCCAATTTTTTTTAAATGAGAGCTTAGTGAGCACTGCAATTTACTTGGGTGTTTTCTTTGTATCTCAATAGCACATTTTATCTGACTTCATTGTGGAAAAGGTTAACATTTCCAAGTTAATTTCTGAAAGTTTTGTGTTACGTCATCCATCAGAAGAAACATATTCAAGGTAAATTTGTGTTATGTATTTCCTTAAACATTTATTTAGATTCAAACACGTTTACTAATTTTGACCAAAAGATACTTTGATATTATGAATGCAAATTTACTTTTTACTTGGGCAAGTCTTCCAGTTGGTTTTGCTCTCTCTATTTTCCTTGCTCTTTATTCATTTTCACACTATGCCTCATTAAAATTACACTGAGAGGGTCAGGGTTGTGGCTCAGTGGTAGAGCGCTTGCCTAGCGTGCCAGGCACACTGGGTTCAATCCTCAGCACCACATTAAAAAATAAAGGCATTCTGTCCATCTACAACTACAAAAAAAAAAAAATTAGATTGATACTCTTAATTTACTTAAAGTAATCTTTTATGTATCTTTTGTAAACAGTTTATTTGTTAATGACTCAATATTTCCTTTTTGGCATTAGTTCCCTCAAAAGTTAAAAAAACTTCCCAAAACACAAAATTTTAGATTGTAAATATTCCCCAATAGAACGTAGGATAGAATGCCACTGAGTTTTAGGAAACTAATTTTTGAAGGAGGATGTTGTTTTCAACTTAAACTAAAATTTTGGTCTCGTAATCATTTATTCAGAATAATTCTGTTGTTCTGTTTTTTTTGTTTTTTTCTAACTCAGTTTTGTCAAATTTTAGCTCTATAAGGAAAACATGAAATTCAGAGGAAAGGTTTATTATTTTTTAAGTTGCTGAAAATATTGGATTGGCATCATTATTAGAACTATCAGATTGTAATGCCCAAATTCTTTGTAAAAATGATTATATTTGTATTTTCATCCATATTTCTGTTTTCATCACTAAAAGTACCTCCCCCCCGCCCTGTATTTTAGCATAAGCATTTATTTTCAGCTATTCACAGTACTCATATCTGGGTCTATCAGCTGCAAAGAAACAGCCACTCCCAACTATCAGACCAGTACAGCTTAGTAACACTGATAACATTTTTTTAAATGTAAATGAAATTATACACTTGATAAAACCCATTGCTGTCTCCCAAATATCACTTGCCTACCTTCTTCTTCATCCCTTGGAACTGAGTTCAGTCTTTGTCAATATTTACTAACTTCCATGTTCAGTTCAGGAATCTTCCATAGGAATCCCTCCCTTTTTGAACAGCCATAAGAACCAGTCCTCTAACTTCCGGTGGTTCCTCTGGGCTCTTGACACTATTTAATAATTTCCTTTACTACATTTATCTTTAATCCCTATCTGGATCATAACTGTGAAGACATTTCACATTGTTAGATGTTTCACACCTCTGTGCCTTGTTGCTAGTAAGTATTTCTGTACATGTTGACCCTCATGTTTCCTTAGGTGAGAAGAAATGAGGCATATCTTAAGACATAAATGATGCCAAATTGCCTATATTTAATCTTCATGGAACTTTACTTTTTCCTCAAAGAAATTGTTACCTATCTCTAAAATGTGTGGGGTGAGGCAGGGGCAGGAAAACAAAGATTGAATTCATGGAAGGGGGGCTGACTATGTCTTAGAATCCATCAGAATTTGCCATGGTAATTCAGAGTTGAGGCTTTTTCACAGGAGCCATGGCACCCTACCAAACAAGACAGAAGATCAGACAAACTTACTCGTGGGTTGGGAGGCCACTGCTGGATCGCAAACTGCACCACCAAACTTACAAGTGAGTGATGGGGCCTTGTGGTTGGGCTTGAAATACAATTTCCGAAGTTAAACTGTTAATAACAGATCCAGCCTATTCTAGTTCCCATGAATTGAAGACTGAGAGTGTAGATATGTGTTGATTGTAAGGAGGGTGTTTGTCTGATGGAAGAAGATGATAGAATAAATAGGGATGGGGCAAAGTTGTTGGTTAGTAAAATTTGATAAATAAAATAAGGTCATAGCTACTTGTCTAACTTTTTATGATAACAAGATGAAAGATGTTAATATGTCCTTTCCAGCTCGATAATTTTGGTATTATCATTGGGCAGCTCTCCATCCTTGGGAAGCCTTTATTTTTCTTTGTCAATAAGTGAGGGGAGTTAGGGTTTGTGTTAAGACTTTTATATTTATCATTCATGCTAAAACAATTAGTTTGGCCCATTTTTCTCTATGCTTAAATATAATTGAGTGCATTGGTTTCCCTGTAGGAGAGTTGCTCAGCATAGAGAAATTATTTAGGGGAGTTTCTAGTTTGAGAACACTTTCTGGTTCCAGAAGATCTGAAGAGCTTTTCCCACCCTTAAAGATTTCCTAACATGTTTCTTTGTTACTTCCTAGAGAAATATGTATGAAAATAGGTTGTTCGACTCAGATGCACATTCAAGTTGGACAATTTGTGTTGATTGAAGGGCATGATGAAGAAAACCCCTATGTTGCTAAGTTGATTGAGTTGTTTGAAGATGGTGAGTTTGGGGCTGGAATGAACCTTGTTGCTGATAGAAATAATCGGGAGGTAAGAGCAGGAGAGGCTGACGATTCCTTAGTTCACAGCAGTGCGCAGAGTGCCTTATACATGTTAGCACCAACCATTCCCTTTTCCATCTGGAAAACTTCTTTATTCACCATAGCAGTAGTAGTAGGTAAAATGGAATTGGAGGACTCAAGAATCCATCTTTTCCATTAATTCTAAGAGTCGTCATAAAGGCAGACTTGGAGGATGGAGAGAAAGAATGAGTTTGAGAAAGAGGGAAGGAAAAAAAATAGGTGATTTGTACTGTGATATACTTGTATCCTTTAATTTCAGCATGAGGAAGTTAGTAATAAATTTTGCAAGTACATCTTTACAAGGACCTTAGTGGGTAAGTTGGATTAGGAAGGTGTATCATTTGGTGTTTAGTCAGGAAAACAAAAGCACTTCAGTTATATACATTCCAGAGGAACTTGTGTATAGGGTTGAAAAGGTCAGAGCTCATTAAGTGCTGAGCCTTGAGCCCTTTGCAGAACAGGAGCATGCAGGAAGGTGGGATTGGCCAGGTTCCAAGGGAAGAATTAAGAAGAAAGAACAACTTAAAACTACACAAGGGCTGGGGTTGTGGCTCAGTGGTGCAGCACTCCCTAGTGTGTTGGAGGCACTGGTTTCAATCCTTAGCACCACATTTAAAAAATTAATAAAACATGTTACTTTAAAAATAAATAAAGAAAAAGAAACTACACAAAACTACTTCCTAGGGATTTAAAAGAGGAACAGCATGAGTTAGATAGTCCTGTGGCAACTTATTAAGAAAAGGAATGGATACAGCCAGTGGATAAGGATGTTTTTATTTACACAGGGGAGATACTTGACAAGTTATGAAGAAAAACCAATGCAACTGAAATCCACTAGGGGGAGCACATCAGCAGAAATGTGGGGTTTTGTGTGGAGGTTTTAGATTTCCTTGTGTGTGCTGCTCCATTGGATGGCTTTAGTTTCTCTGGAAAGAGTTTAGAAGAGAGGGTGGTGATGATGATACTACTGAATGTATGCCCTTACAGTGATATTAATGGTATATTATAATGATAAAGCTAAAGATTACAAGCCGGTGATTGCTAAGTCATCCCCATGGTCACTATTCTGATTCCTGCTAGGATTCTTTTTTTCTCCTTCCTGCTGTGAGATGCTTTCTTTATAATTACCAATTTGTAGAATTGATCCACTAGTCAGTGCTTGTGTTTAGAGTAGATCCTCTCAAATCCCTTTTGTAATTCCTTGTCCAGTGATAACACCATTAGGAAATGGAGCAACCTGAGAAGAGCTTGAATGTAGGTGGAGTCAGCTTGAATGTGGTTGGTTGATCGAATGACCTTTGACAAATTATTTAAGGTCCCTGAAACTTGATTTCTTTGCCTGTAAAAGACATAGTACCTACATGCAGGGTTATTATGGGTATGGAATTCAATAGTTGAGGGCTTATCACAGGAACTGGCACATAGGAAGTACTTAATAAAATGTTCTCATATTTTATTAATTCTCCCCTTTATACCTGATCATTCTAGATTCTGAACTTCATTCCAAAAAACGTGCTCGAGTACAGTGGTTTGTCCGATTCTGTGAAGTCCCTGCCCATAAACAGCACTTGTTGGGCCGGAAGCCTGATGCGCGGGAGATATTCTGGTATGACTACCCTGCCTGTGGCAGCAACATTAGTGCTGAGACCATCATTGGCCCTGTTCAGGTAGGTGGTGCTTTGATCCCAGTTCTGTCTTGAAGCTTACTTCCGTCTACCTTCTAAACTGCATGACTTCAGAAATTTACTGGCTCTAATTTGCCCCATGGGAATGAATTTTATCCTGTCATTTTTTTCTGTTGTTCTGCCTATTTCATCTCAACAAATATTTATTTAGAGCACATGTCATGTGTTAGGAACTTCGTAGAGGAAGTGACATTTGGGTTATGACCTGAGGGATGAACAGAAATTAGCAAATATGGAAAATTATATTTAGCTATGATTGTGGCCGGTGTAAGGCATTGTGAGGCTGAATCTGCTTTGATAAATAAGGACTTGAGTAAATCAGTTCAAAGGGTGCTAGTTGCTACAGGCAAATTTGTGTTATAGGATTTTATAATAAATCAGGAGCTATTGAGCGGCTCATTTATAGGCCTAAGCAGGACACTAGTTTGGAGACTAAATATATGGCTTATTCCTGGACTACTTCAGTCCCCTAAAGTGGGATTAGATCAGGATGTGAAGTGTGGTTTTTATGGTTAGGTGGTTGGATTAATGGATGGGCTGGAAGACAGGGTCTGGCACGACTGTAGTGATCAATGTCCGAGTTAAATAAAGGAGAGAAGAGCAGTATAGAAGTTGAAACTGCAGGACGGGTAGATTTGGAAGGATGGAGTGCAGGGCAGTGTTTAGGCAGGAGATGTTGGGTGGGAATGAGCAGAACTGTGAAAGCCAAGCTCCATTAGTGGTGCAAGGCCATGCTGAGGAACATTGTTGAGCAGGGGAACATATTTACAGAAACTCCTGTGGGAAAATTTGGGTGAGGAGGAAAGGAAAGTGATAGAGGATTTAGATATCAGCTATGTGAAGTCTGGAATTATCTAGGAGTGAAGTGATGCATCCTCAAACTAGAGTGAGAACAGAAATTAAAAGGTAAAGCCAATAAACTTTTTAAAAATGAAAGTAATTTATACATTTCATTGGTATCTTTCAAACAATTAAATAAGTGCTCAGTTGTCTATTTAATATGCTATGCAATATCTGCTTTTTTAGATTGGAAAGATAACATTACAGGTAGAGATGTTGGCTTAATGTTTTTTAATCATAGCTCTGATGCAGTCTTCCTTGGCTCATCTTTTCCTGTTCATGTATACTTCCTAAATTCAGGTAGTGGCTTTAGCTCCAGATGAAGTGATACCTGTGGGTCTGAAAAATGAGAAAATATTTTTTGTGAAACTATCCTGGAATGAAAAGAAGTTCAGACCATTGTCCCCAGAACTATTTGCAGAGCTGGAGAAACTACAAGAAGGCAGCCTTAAATGCCGGAAGCCTGTGGAAGCCATGACTAAGAACACAGAAAGCCCTGCTTGGACCACAGCAAAACAAGTGGCCAAAAGGATTGAATCAAGTCACTCTGCCTCTAAATCTCGCCCAACTCCTGTGCATCCTGTTGCCCCCACTGCAAGGAAGAGGCTGGATCTCTGCAGTAAGTGTATTCTCGGAGCATACTGGGGCTGAAGGAACACTTATAAAATATTAGTTCATATAAGAGTATTGAATTAGTGCAGCAATAGGCCAGGTATTGGTTGGACATATGTTAAAATATATATAATGTGGGGCTGGGGATGTGGCTCAAGCGGTAGTGCGCTCACCTGGCATGCGTGCGGCCCGGGTTCGATCCTCAGCACCAC